CTAGGGAGAAAAGTTGGCCTCGTAAGATGTTTCAATCTCGTTGTTTTTTTTAATTTATTTTTTGAATAATTGGATGGCCACAATGGGAATTAACAAAGATGTAGAGGGTGGCATGTGTTCATATGTGAAAGATATAAAAGAAAAAGAGAAAGGAAAACTTAAAAAATCAAAATTAAATCTATATGTAGTAGTAACATAGTGGGCAAATTAGTCAATTTATTAATAACTATTACCCTATAAAAACCCCCTACCATGCCCATTTCCTTCACAGTCGTGTTGTTGTTTGCCATTGCTTGTTGCCTGCCATTACTAGATAAAGCCTTCATAGCTCTTGTTGTTTGCCAGGGCTGGATAAACTTCATAGGTCTTGTTGTTTGCCATTGTTAGAGAAAGTTTTGTTACTTGCAATTGCTAAATAAACGTGTTATCATCGTAGGGGCATATTCGGAATGAAAAATATGCAAACTTAAATAAGCAATAGTGTTATGATAGGCTAATTAGTAACTCTCCAGATGACTCTATCCTATATAACTCTCCACCCCACAATGCCCATTTCATATCCCATTGCCTAGTGATTCTTACCACTTATGGAGAGGGTCTCATTTTCCATTTCTTGATATGAAAGAGAAAGTAGTAATTATTCTTGAGGCGGGGCCTTCTAGTTTAGGTCTGTGGAAGAAAAGGTGCTATGATCGTCTCTATCTCCACTTTACGAAAGATTTTTTGTTTGAATTATCACATTATACACACACACAATGTACACTCAACTTTATATGTGAGAAGGATTTTATAAAATATATAGGTCACTGTTTCATCCATTTCGAGCTTGAGACCTTGTTTGATAGGCCTGAGGAAGCTATTATCACTAATATAGACTTAGGGAAACCGGTTGTGCAAGTTCCGAACATGAAATTTTTGGTGGTGGCCAAATGCAAAGTAGTGATGGGGAGGCATGTGAAAGCCGCGACCAAGGAAGATGGCATGACAAAGTGCAAACACCCCAAGCATTGGAAGGCCCAACATGGCGAACATACTATGAAAGGCTGCTTGAGGTTTTTGATGCTCAACATATTGCAGGTGACATATATTTCCTCTAAAAAGCAACAGATAAATCTGAACAACGATAATTGGAAATCAAAATGTTCTTGTTATTTGCAAGTCCTAAAAATATTGGTCTCTGTTTCCTTCATAAATGTGTCCATTCTGCCAGTACATGGCCTTAAATATCAATCATCATGTATTTTTTCTTATTTTCTTTTAATTATGCCTCATGAGCCCATTTCGTGGTAATTAGATAAATGTGGGTACTTATTTGATAAGTTTTCCATGTATGTTATGATGGTGCAGATCCATGTGATGAACAAAGAATTGATTCACATGGGAATGCGTTTGTTGAAATACTTTCCAATTGGGTTGGGGGATAGGCTCATGGTTTCTTGTAGCAAGTGGTTGTATGAAGATACAAGTCAGTTTTGCACTCAAAGACCCGAGGAAGGCCAAATTATACTAAAGAGCAAGACTGGCAGGAGCCCCATCCTTGATCCGGGAACCTTTAAGAAAATAAAATCTGGGGACATAAAGGTCTCTCTCTCTCATAATTTAAAATTAGCATATGAGTTGGTGAGAATGGTCTGGGATGTTGGTGGTATGAATTGGTGAGAATGGTTTGGGATGTTGGAGGTAGTACTACCGACCTCCATGATGAAATCTTTGACTTCATTTTCACCAAAAGGTAGAGGACCAAATCCCCACTGACTTCCTCATGCGAGGATTTGCCTTCCTTACTATTTAGGGATATGTTTTAATGTGCCTTTTTTTTAACTTATTAGATATGTGCAATTTCTCTCTCTCTCTCTCATAAAGTTGACATATGAATTGGTATCTTGTTTACATCTTCCTCATAAAATTTGGCATATAGTTTTGGTGTATGCCTTTTAACTTATTTTTCTCTCTCTTAAATAGGTCTTTCCATCCATTCCATGCATAAGAGGTAATGAAGTGGAGTTCTCTAATAATAAGAAGCAAGTGTTCGATGCTATAATATTGACAACCGGCTACAAGAGTACAATAAAGGCATGGCTCAAGGTTAATCTCATTTAAGTAACCTTGCTTCAACAAATAGTCTCTTAACTAATGTTTGTTTTTAAGCTGTGCCCCTTTGGATTGATTAAAAAATTCAATGCATGACTGTAGATCCTTTTCATTTTTTTTTGAGAAAAGTGACTAACTTGTTTTTGGAATTTACATTTCGAGAATGCTTGCTTGGAACTATTCTTGAGGACTTAAAAAGAGAATTTGTTTATTTTTGCAAGGACGAAGATGGTTTTTTTAGTGAAGATGGAATGCCTAGAGCTAAATATCCAAACCGTTGGAGAGGGCCAACTGGTCTCTACTACGGTGGATTCTCAAGGAGGGGACTCTTGGAGTGTCCAAAAATGCTAAGAATATAGCGAATGACATATTTCCCTTCCCAAAGTTGGAATCAAGAGTGAAAAATATTTGGACACCGATATGGATTCTCAAGGAGGGGACTCTTTAGAGTGTCCAAAGATGCCAAGAATATAGCAAATGACATATTTCCCTTTTCAAAGTTGGAATCAAGAGTGAAAAATATTTGGACACTGATATTACGCATCGTATTTGCTT